GTTATTTATTTTGCCATCCCAGAAAGGTCACAGCAATTAATACTACCACCCTTATGGCCCCTAGGACATGAAAGTGACCATTTTCCCGCACCTGAGGTAAGCCAGGTTTTGCAGACCCATTTTAACTTTTGCATATGTGATGGAGTGGTGGGAATAGCTGCATTTCCTTCATCTATTAATGGGCTTCAGCAAGTCTTCATTTGTAAATTGTCTGTTCCCTTCTTTGCCAGCCAATTTTCCCCTTGCTTGCTTTGAAAGGAGCTCTTTTTTTATTTTAGGAAGATTAAGCCTTTGGCTGTCATATGTGGTACAAATAACTCTTCCTCATTTGTCATTTGTCTAACGACAATTATGGTGGGTTTTGCCATACAGAAGTTTTTAATTTCTCTGTCTTTTCTTTTATGGTTTCTGGTTTTTATGACATACTCAGAAAGGCTGTCCCCACCCCAAGATTCCTCCTAGTACTTTTATAGTTTTATTTTATTTTTTTACATTAAATTTCTGAACCATCTGGAGTTTATTTCTGTGTGGAGTGTGAGGTAGGAAATCCAGGTGTTTTCCCCCACAAGGCCAGTCATTCCAACATCATCTATTGAACGGTGCACTTCTAATCCACTGATATGAAATGTTACCTTGCTTGGCCGATGTTGGCTCAGTGGTTGAGCATCAACCTATGGACCAGGCGGGTGGTAATGGTTCAATTCCTGGTCAGGGCACATATTGGGGTTGTAGGCTCGATTCCTGGTGGGGGACATGCCAGAAGGAGCCAATTGATGATTATCTCTCATCACTGATGTTTCTATATCTCTCTCCCTCTCTCTTCCTCTCACTGGAATCAATAAAAAAACATTTTTTTAAAAAAAGAAATGTTACCTTGATCATACACTGCATTTGAAATTAATTTTTATTCTTTCTTTTATTCATTTTGCAAGTATTCCTTGTGTGTCCACCCAGGCACCATCCCAGATACTTGGGGGAGTGGGAAAGCATGAGATGTGTTTCCTACATGTAGGAGGAAGGAAAGAGAGAAGCAAGAGACAGTGACTATGTAGGGCAATGAGTGCTGAGGCAAAAGTGCAGCCCAGAAAGAGACACTTAAGTAGGTCTTGGTGCTTAGGGATGACTTCCTGCTAGACGCATGAGTATAGTAGGAGTTAACCAAGGCGAGAGACCTCAGTCAACAGTAAGGTTTGGAGACAAAGAACAAGGTTTGTATGGGAATCAGCAAGAAGTCCAGTATGGCTTCAGTGTGCTGGGAGCTTGGAGCTTGAGAGTTCAGACAAGAGACAAGATCCACAGCAGCCACCAGACCTAGACAGGGAGAAGGAAAGAGGAATCTCAGATGGCACCCCAGTTTCCAGTTTGGACTGCTGGGTGAATAGAGTTACCTTATTGCTCAGACAGAGAACACAAGGGGAGATTGTTCTGGCTGATTCGTGGAGAGTAGATGCAGCTGGGCAAGAGTGGAAGCCAGGAGACCAGGGAGGAGGTGAAAGAGGATACTGGCTTGAACTAGGATAGTGGTGGCAGTGGAAGTGGGCAGAAATAGTCAAGATATATTTTGGAGGGAGAGCTGCAATCAAGACTTGCTGATTAATTGGATGTGAGAGATGAGGGAAAGAAAGAAAATCAAGTTAACCACGTAGGCCTTTGGCCTGCACACCTGGGAAGTGCCACTGATGGAGAAGAGGGAGACTTAAAGAACAAGTTTTGAGGGTGTAGGGTGGGAACAAGAGCTTTGTTTGAACATGTTTAGTTTGAGTTGACTCTTAGACATTGTAAGGGAAGAAAAAAGTTTCCTTAATCCTCTTAGGGTCCCTGGCTGGGTCTGAATATTAGACTGACAAAGACAAATTAATAGGAGAAAAGCATACACATTTAATATGTTTTACATGACATGGGAGCTTTCAAAAGAAAATGAAGACCTGGCCCCCAAATAAATGATTAAACCTGAGTGTTTTTATACTAGACTTGATGAAGCGTGTAAAGTCATGAAATGATATGATAGGACAAAGATATTGAGCTAAATATAGTCAGCTGCAGGAAACTTAGCAAGGCCTGTTTGTTCAGATCCTTCTTGGCTTCCCCCATCTTCCCTTGGAAATAAGGATGCTCTTTCCTCTGGGTATAGGGAGTACACCCTTCACATGAGGATCTATGACCTGTCAGGAAATATGGTGGAGTTGAGTGGAGGTCACAGAGACCTTCTTGCTTCTGCTATTTTCTCAAACTCCATCTTAAAATATTCAATATGCCAAGGTGCCATGTTTTGGGGTAGCATGTCCTGCACCCCATCAACATCTGTGTAACAAGCTCTATCCTAAGTACCTCTGTGTGCTATCCCATGTAACCTTGACAACATCCACCTCAGGAGGAAGATGCTGGTAGTCTCATCTCTATTGTACAGGTGAGAAATGGAAACCCAGAGAGGGTGAGTAATTTTTCCAAGTCACACCACTATTAATTGGCACAGTCGGGATTTGCACCCAGGCAGTCTGATTCCAGAGTCTGTGCTCCTAATCTTCAATATGTCCAGATAAGTGGAGTGTCAGGGAAGCCAAGAGAAGTATGTTTTTCCAGAATGAAGGAGTAATTTATCAACTGTGGTTAAGAGGGCAAAGATGTGAGTATTGGGTTTGGCAACATGGAGATCACTCACTGGTAACCTTGACAAGAGCAATTTTAAGGGAGTGTTGGGGTTGAAATCCTAATGGAAATGTGTTTACAAGAGAATAGGGAAGAAGTAGAGACAGTGAATCTAGACCACTTTTTTTTTTTTTTTAATCCTCACCCAAGGATATTTTTTCCATTGCTTTTCAGAGAGAGTAGAAGGGGGAGAGAGAGAGAGGGAGGAGAGACAAACATCAATGTGAGAGAGACACATCGATTGGTTGCCTCTCGTAAGCGTCCCGACCAGGGTGGGGATGGAGCCTGCAACTGAGGTCCGTGCCTTTGGCCAGAATCGAACCCGGGACCCTTCAGTCTGTGGGCCGATGCTCTAACCACTGAGCAAACCAGCTAGGGCTAGACCACTCTTTCATGGAGTTTTGCTCAGTAGAGGAACAGAGAAATGAGACACTAACTGGAGGTGGGAGTCAGGTCAAGTGAGATTCTTTTTTTTAATGTTGACAGGCATGCTCCAAAAGAAATGGATGTTCTTATGATGCAGAAGAGAAAGGGGGAAGTCCTTGTGAAGTTGAGAAGGGGTGAAATTCAGGAATTTATATTGGCATCACTCTGCACAGTTGTGTGACCCCTGCCAGCACTGTCTTCACTATGAGGTAAGCATGAAGAAAGCAGATGTTTAAAATTGTCCAGATTTGGTGCTGTATCAGGTGGAGGTGACAGGAACAGTGGAGCAAGGGAGATTAAGATGTTGACAAAAGAGATAATGAAGTGATGGGCCATTGATTCTAAGCTGGATAAGGAGGGAAGTGAAGAGAAGAAGGGGCTAATGAATGGGAAGGAAGTAGATGAGACAGCAGATGGGAGGTCCCCATGAGCTGGAAAGACAGTTGTCACTACCTTTCATTGGGAAATAGTTGGACAAACCCACTAGAAAAAGAGGAAGCAGGGGTCAGAAAGTGGAAGGCCTGCGATAGACATTCCAGAGGTGTTGACAGGATGGAGGCTCTACCTGTAGGAAGACGTGGCTGCAGTGTAGTTGACAAGATCTTCAGAGATGTCAAGGTCAAAGAACTAGGAGGCCTGAGGGTTGGAATGGATGATCCACAGGCATAGATGCTGAAGTCACACACTCACTACTCCACATCATTGCTATCCTGCCCCATCCTTCCCAGTCACCTCCTCACATTCAGTGAGGTATGGATGGAAAGGAAGAATGAGCCAGGTATGAAGATTTGCCTGAATGTTGGATGTGTTAGTAAGTTAGCCTGAGCCTCGAAGAAGGTGAGTTTTTCATCCAATGGCAGACTAGTCTATCTGAGGTAGGTGGGGTGTGAGAAAAGGAAGAACCTCCCTTGGGTGAGGCTGTAGGGGTACCTTGCTTAGTGGAGGGAGTTCAGCTTCAGTTAAGGAAGAAGCGGAGAGTTTCCCTCTAAGGAGAAAGAGAACAGTTAGAGTGCTTCTGTCCACCAGAACTTTCTGTGATGATGGAAATATTCTCTATCTGTGCTGTGCCACATGGGGGCTATTGAGCACTTAAAATGTGACTATTGTGACTGAGGCACTGAATTTTCAATTTTATTTAGTTGTAATTCATTTAAATTTAAAGTCACATGTGGCCAGTGGCAACTATAATGGCCAGTAGAGCTCTAGAGATATGTGCTGGTTAGGGAGCTGTAGTCCTCAAGGTCCCAACAGGGCAGGTAGGGGAGGAAGGGGAATGGAGGAGGGCACAATGTCAGAGAACCTAGAGCTATTTTGTTGAGTTCATAGTCCCTAAATACAGGTTACTGGGGCCAAGAGGGATGGGCAGGGCCCAGGTGATGAGAGCCATCCCTTCCCTCTATGCTGAGATTTGAATTTCCACCAAGGAAGGACTTTGGCCAGCAGCCCTTTGTCCTGCTCAGATGGACAAGGAGGCAGAATCTGAACTGCTCTCCCCTCCAGCCTCTCAAAGGCTGGCCTCCTTGAGGAAATCAAGGCAGCTGAGCACCCAGGTAGGGAGGTTTCCAGAAAAGACTAATAGAGAAGCATACATCCTGCAAGAGGTAAATCACAGTAACCTGGCTCTCCTGTGCATTTCCCTTTCCCAGGTAAGCATTTCCCAAGTGCAAGGGCAATGCTTAACCATAAGGAACAAATCAGCAACTCTCATAGTTGGACAGACTCTCAGGTTGTCGTGGCCTCAGCTTTCCCAGCCAGCAGTTTTGCCAAGCCAGGCTTAGCAGGGCCCCTGAGTAAGAACTCCCTCCCTCTCCGGACAGATCTAACTGTTCAGAAGTCCATTTTCCCATGTGGCCTGCATCCCCCTGCCAGGTCTCCCAACCCAGGGCCCCAGTCAATTCTTGGGGTGCCACATAGACCCCAATACTCACTCAGGCTTCCTGTTTCTTCAGCAGGTGTTGGCTTCCACACCTTTTCTCTTCTGGGCCTGGGCTCACAATGCCTAGTGGGCATCAGTCTTACCAGAAGGTACAGGAGCTGGAGCTGCTTCTGAGACAGCAGAGGGGCCTCTTAGGAGCAGGGCTTGGGCCCAACTTGGGCATGGCTTGCAGCAGGGCCAGTGGATTCCCCAGGCTGCTGACAGCCTAGACCCTCAGTATGGCCCCTTGGCAGGAGTGGCTGAGCTCCAGGGATGAGGGGGTGCTGGGCAGAGAGCCTACTGTCTCCTCCTCATGACTTCCCTTCCTCCTTATCCCAGGAGCCTCTGTGCCGGCCAACTGTACTAAAACTCCGGAAAACCATGGCGGGGAGGTTTTCCAATTAGAACATTCTTTTTCCGATCTGTGGATGATTCTTAAAGCAGCAAAAAGCCATTCTTCAGGGCATATGGGGATTATCTGCCAGCGGGGCCTTGGCTCGGCCTGTGCACTCGTCCTCTAGAGGCCTGGCCTGGGGCTGCTTCACAGCCAAAGACAAAAAAGGCAGTCTGCATTCTGGGCCATCAGGTCACACAGGCCAAAACTGATGGTGGAGTAGTTCCTGGACTTATTCAAAGTAGTAGATTCAAAAGGCAGTGGGGAATTCAGGCTGCTCGAGTGGGAGATGTCCCAGTGGCCAGGGAGCTCTGCCTGCATGATCTCCCTGCTCTCAGTGGAGCCACTGTCCACAGAGCACGGATTCATCCCCTTGGAGATGAACTGGTCTGCCTTCCCCACCAGACTGAGAGCTGCTTCAAGGAAAGACTGGGGGCGCAGTGTGTTGAGGGAAGGAGGTCCAAAGGGAACATTTGGTGCCAGGGAGGGGGTCCAGCCCCTTAGCTAGAAGTTCAGGCTGAAGGTGGGGCATGGGGGAGAGGCTAAATGCAAGACCAGAAAGGCAGGGTCTCACTTCATGTGCTGACCCTGCAGGTTGGGGTCTCTATAGGGGCCACTGTGGGTGTAGCCACACTTGGGGACCCCTGCCCCCACGAGACCCACCTTACTTGGAGCTGGTGGAGTCACCCAGCAAGTGGAAACCAGTTGAAGAGCTTAGAAGGATGAGGTGACAGGGCGGGCCCTGGAAGGGAGGGAAAGAAAGGATTAGGGTGCAAACAGAAGCCCAGCCCTTCCCACACATGAACCTGAGCACCCAGGCTGGGTGGGGGTTCCATTCAGAACAATTGAAGCCCTGGTTTTAGTCCCAGCTATGCCTCAGACTGACTGTGTGGTCCCAGCTTGATGCCATCCCTCTCTGGGCCTCTGTTTCCCAATTTGCACAATGGCAGAGTTTGGGTCAGTTGTTCATCTCCAGTCCCTTCTGATGTGGGGAGACTCTGCCTGGGTTGGCTTTGGGGCCTGACAGCTTTCAGTATCCCATCCATCATTCCCTTCCCTAGCTTGGGAACTCTTCAGCTACACTGGCATGCTTGAGTTTTGTTCCCAGCTCTGGAGATCAGAGGGGCCTGTGTGGATCTTACAAGCACTGCTTGGGGAGTTCTTTCCAAATAGCCATCTATCCCTGTACTATCTGCTTGCTTCAACCTGGCCTCTCAGAAAATCTGTTTCCATTGTATGCTCATGGGTCATGGCTCCACTTGGCATAGGGGACCTCTTCACTCCTCCCTCCATCTTCCAGACCTCTTGCCTACCCAGGCAGCCAAGCCTGGCTCCATCCTTAAGCCCACCCTACTTAGAAGCAGCACCTGAGGGCCTTCATGTCAGTGGGGAGACTGCCTGAGCTGCGGGCTTCAGGAGGACTCTGCCAGAGTCTGGCCAGCCTTGGAGCTGGAGAAAGGGGCCAAGGTACAAGAGGAGCTGAGAGTAGAGAGGGATGGGGCCAAGCTCAAGCCAGGCAAGAGTAGATAGAGCCTAGGCTGGGGGCAGCCAGTAACCACCAGGGTCTTGGCCCTCAAGTTCTAGGCCAAGGAAAAGTTTATGAAGGAGCCAATGTTGCAGCTGAGAATGGGCAGGAGGTCACCATTAAGTGAACATCTTGTGTAGGGGCCTGGTAGTATGAGAGCAGTTGGTGTATCTGGGTCCAGGTGCCTGAGGGCAAGGAGTCAAAGAGGAGGCTAGTAAAGTTGGCAGAGGCCCTGAAGCTTGGATGAGGTGGCTGGAGGTGGCTCTGGCAGGGGTGGGGGCATTCTGCTGGGGCAGTGAACAGGTGGGCAGGGCAGGGCAAGGCAGGGTGGGGCAAAGCAGTTACTGTTCGAGTCAAACCCGTTTGCAAGTGAGATCAGCTGCAAGGCCTGGCAGACTAGCAGGAATGGAGGAGTTGAGGAAAGGCTGGTCCCTTTGGCTGGGGCTGCCGTGGTGGATCTGGCCTGGGCAAAGCTGAATCACCTGGGTCGTGGGAAGAGCTTGAAGGCCTGGGACAACCCAGGGAATGCCCCCCCC